GTTCACCCCCCAAATGGCTGCTACAGCTGGCGTGCTGCACTGATCTGAAGCCAGGAGCCAGGTGCTTCCTCCTGGTCTCCCATGTAGTGCAGGGCCCAAGCACGTGGGCCATCCTCCACCGCCTTCCTGGGCCACATCAGAGAGCTGGACTGGAAGAGTAGCAGAAGGGACAGAACTGGAGCCCCAACCGGGGTTAGAACTCGGGATGCCAGTGCTGCAGGCAGAGGATTAGCCAAGTAAGCTGCAGCGCCGGCCAGGTAGTTTGTATTCTGTTTTTCGCCTGCTGCTGAGAGCATCACACATCTGTGGGACAACCAAGCACACCCATGGGGCAGGCCCAGGGCATGTGGCTTACCCTAGATCACACAGCTGGCTATGGTGAAGAGATGGCACCAGAACCCAGCACTTCTCATTCAGAGTCTGGGGCCCTTTCTATAGCAGTAAAGCCAATTACAAATTGAAAACATAAGCAGAGAAATCCTTGTGGCTCTTTTCCCTCCCTGAATCAATGAACAAGTACCAAGAAGGTCAATCTCAAATTAGCATTGTGACCCCCAATTTTAACATTCACCTGGGCCAGCATTGATTCCTTTCATGAAAACCATATTTATTCTGAAATTGTCAAATAATTTCAGAGCACATATGAAGGTTTTGTGAGAATAATTACACGCTTTTGTTTTTGAAGAAAAATATCCAAAATATATAAGCTTATTGTTTGGGTTAAACAATAAAAACATCTGCTGTTTCTCATGATGGCTCTAGTCTTAATATAACATGGCAAAATAATACCCATAAATATCCATGATTAACCTGAATTGGAGAGGGCTCACCTTCCAGTGACTTCATGTAGCGGCTTCAGCTGGCACGGGTAAAACACAGAAAGAAACCGGAAAACAAAAACCGAAAGATAGCCTGCTCATCGTCGTCCAGTGTTCTGTTGCAGCACAGTATGGAAAGCAGCCACTTTAAATGGGTGGTGGGCCCCTCCTAGGTGAGACCCCCACAGATCTGAGGCTTCTGTTTTTGAAGAATGAGGACCTCTGCTTGGGTGCCAGTGCAGGGTTTTTGGAGTGCATTCAAACTGAGCTTCGGCACAGGTGTGCCTGTCATTAGGTGTTTATGTTTACCTGCACACGGGAATGTTTGCCTGGGTGACTCTGTTTGTGCTCACTCTGGTGTGCACACATTTGGGTGTGGGTGGCAGGGTTTCCATCCAATTTAGGACTGAGAAGGAACTGTCTCTTTTATCCAAATAAAATGGCCCTTCCCAAATGTCAGCGAAATGTGCAGCAGAATGTCAGGGTTCACAGTGGGCAGGGGGAGGGACAAGCCCCCCGCCTCTCCTCCCCTAAGTCACACTCTTCCTTCGGAGATCTCTGGCTGGGACTCCTGCTGACCCGGTCTTGTACAGCCCCCAGTGAAGGGGGCACTTCTGAACACCTCTCAGCCAGGCTGTCTTCTGAGATACTCTCCTAAATGCTAAGGAGGAACAAACCTGGGCAATGGAAAAGACAAAACGCAAAAGGGTCATCTGTTTCAGGTCCTTCCACAGTGAGCCATCTCCCCAGCCTCTCCCAGCCTTCCGGTGCACCTCCTGTGTCTCTGTGGTCTCGTGCCTCCGGCCTCATCACTAGCAGGACCGCAGGATGTCACCCAGCTGAGCTCTTCCTCTGGTCAAGGTCCTTGTGAACAAAACCAGTGACCTAAGTGCTATTTGCCTGTGCTCACTAAGCACCCGCTGTGGGCTTGCTTAATCCCTGCAGAGGTGGCTGTGTGAGCTGTCGCCGCTAACTGAGACTCGGCAACATGCATTTCCCAAGGCCTCCAGCTAGCAAGGGGCAGAACCGGATGGAGAGTTCGGCTCTGTCTGCATCCAAGGCCTCCTTCGGCATCAGGGAGTCCCCGAGCCTGCCCTCCCCTCTGTGTCCACAGCATAGCTCCTCTTCAGGGGACAGCCACACTGTGGTCACCGACCTCAACCTTCGGGGGAATGCCCAGCGTAAAAGGAGCACTGAGGTTACAGGAGGGACTGAGGTGCGTGGAGGAAGCGCTGTCCTCCTCTCCTTCCCGGTGTGGGGCCCTGAGCCGGAGCAGCTGCGCTGAAACCCCCGGGCCCACTCCAGCCCCAGCAGACAGCAGCCCCTTTCGTCCTGTCTGACTTAGCGGTCTATTTTAGGCCTGGCCTGACCAGGTGCTCTGGGTCACCAGGCTTAGTTTTAAATAACTGAATTCCTCTCAGTGACCACCTCGCTGGGAAGGGAAGGGGTGTGATGGGACCGTGACCCCGTAGGCTGGGGGTGGTGAGGGAAGGGAGTGAGACCAGAAGACCCATGTGTTGTGAGCCTCAGTGTGTTCACCCGTGGAGCGCAGGAGTGGGCTGCTCATCTCAAACACCCTGCAGCCTGCTCCCTGTGTCTCTGTCCTGGGCCCGTGTATGCACCTGCCAGCTCTCCAAGTGCAAACACATTTAGCATCATGGAGCTGAACCACCAAGGGAGGCAGCACAGCATAGAGCCTCCAGCTCTGCTCTGGAATTGGGAGACCTGAGTTCAAGTCCTGCTTTTGATACACACTGGGTGACCTTGACAAGCTGTGCATCCGTTCTCTCACGTGTTTAAGTGGGGCTGATAGGAGTGGGTGTTGGATGCAGCAGTGACGACGCTGCCTGGGATGCCCACGTTAGAGTGCTCAGCTCGGGTCTTGGCTTCTCAGTATCTGCTCCAGCTTCCTGCTCCATGGCCGCGCAGCCTGGAAGGCAGCAGCTGATGGCTCAGGTATTTGGGTCCCTGCCACCCACGTGGGAAACTCAGATTGAGTTCCAGGCTCTTAACTTCAGCTTGATTCAGTCTCAGCTGTTGCGGGCATCTGGGGAGTGAGCCAACGGATGGAAGATCTCTGTTTCTCTCTCTCTCTGCCTTTCACATAAAATGAAAAACAAATTTAGAAAATGATAAAAAGGGACTGACAGAGCTTCAGTGATAGCGTGAGGATTACTCGGAGCAATTGCCCTTTAAACTTTTAAAGCACTGTATATAAATAGCAAGTAATGTGCCCAGCAATTCCTCAACAAGTTAACACACAAAATGACCATCTTAGCCAGCAGTCCCCTGGCCGGGAACATCCTCAAAAGGGACACGAAGAGGTATCTGTGCACCCGTGGTCAGGGCAGCATTATTCATAATGGCCAAAAGGTGGAGGCTGCCCAAGTGTTCACAGAGGGATGAATGGATAAACAAACGGTGAGCACATACAGAGAGTACTACTCAACCCTACAGAGAATGACATTGTGACACTCACTGTAATATGGATGAACCGCGAAAACATTATGCCGAGTAAAATAAGCCAGGCACAAAGGGCTAAATGCTGTCTAATTCCGCCTGTTGTGAGGGACCCTGAACAGGTGAATTCACAGAGGGAACATAGAATGTGGGGTGTGGGAGGGGCTGATGAGTTTATTGTTCGATGGAGGCAGAGTCTCCGTTTGAAACAGTGACAGTCAGGACAGGACAGGGCAAGGGGCAGCGGCCGCATAACACTGTGGATGCACGTAACGCCGCTGAGTGCTACAGCTGAGAGTGTGGAAATGGTTCAAATGCTGATGTCGTGTAGTGAGCGCACACTTTTCAAAATTTAGTTAAAATTTCTAGGGATATTTTGGCAAAATCTAGGAGTCCTAGTTCTCCTGCCTCAATTTAGGCAAGATATTTTAGGGGAAGTAAATTCTTCCTCTGTGAAATGGGGCTGAACAGCAGTCTCTCTCTTTCTCCCTCCTTCACGGTCCAGACTGAAGAGAACCGGCTCCACAGGGTGTCCAGGCGCCCCACATGGCCGGGGCACCTCCAAAGCAACCTCCATGACTCCACACTGAAGGGGAGACCGGGTCCTGGTTCACAGTCCATTCTCAGGGCTGCTGTAGCCCCCTCTTCCGGCTCCTGCATGGCCTTTTACTTTGGAATTAAGACAAGAGGAGAGTTTGCTAACCATACCCACCACCTTTCATAACAGTCTTGCCTAACCCAGTGCCTGGTACACAGCAGGTGCTCAACATTCCTTTTGAAACTGATAAGGTGCCCTCACTCAAGTCCTATTTTATGCCAACTGTATGCAGGTTAGTATAAGGAATCCAACAGTTTATGCTGGGAGGCGGGGAAGGAGGAAGACACACAGGTGGAGTGGATGCTAAACTACAAACGATTGTTAAGTCCTCACAGCTTGCCCAGTGCTGAGGGCAATGTGGAGGGGGGGGGGCTCTGCAGGAGGCGGCTTGCAGGAGGCAGTGCAGTGTGGGTGGCCAGCAGCACCTCGTGTCCACTCAGGACCATAGACGATTTTTTTTGAAATATTATATTTATTTATTTATTTATTTGAAAGGTAGAATTACAGACAGAGGGAGAGACAGAAAGAAAGGTCTTCCATCCACTGGTTCACTCCCCAAACGGCAGCAACGGTGGGACCTGGGCCGATCCGAAGTTAGGAGCTTCTTTCGGGTCTCCCATGCAGGTGCAGGGGCCCAAGCACTTTTCCCAGGCCACAGGCAGAGAGCTGGATCAGAAGTGGAGCAGCCGGGACAGGACCCAGCGCCCACATGGGATGTCGGCGCCAAAGGTGAAGGCTTAGCCTACTAAGCCACAGCGCCAGCAACTGTAGACTGGATTTTACCCCAAACACCCGTGCGTCCCCACCCAAGAGGGGTAAACTGAGTCCAAAAGAGGCAGGAAGCGCTGGCCCGCGGTGAGAGGGCCAGCAGAAAGGGGCGTCCTTGGCCCGAGCAAGGCGGGACCCTTGGCACGCATCCGACAGACGCCTGTGTGCCGGTGTAGGCTCCCAATCCATGGGTCATGGGACCCCCGGGGTTTCAGACAGAGGACCCGGGTCGGGGCATCTGCTCCGGGCCCCCGCCCCCTCCCTGGGCTCGCGGGCCCGGGACCGTTCAGTGTCGGGGGGCTCGAGCAGCGCTAGCCTTCCGGGGTGCAGCGGGGGGGCGGGGAGAGCGGCCGCCTGGCCCAGCCCCGCGGATGACAGGAGCCGGGGAGCCGAGGAGGGAGGAGCCGCCGCCGCCGAGCGCTGGGCTGAGGAGCAGAGAGAGCGGGGCGCGGAGTGCGGGCGGCTGGGAGCGCGCTGAGCGGGGGAGAGGCGCTGCCGCACGGCCGGCCACAGGACCACCTCCCCGGAGAATAGGGCCTCTTTATGGCATGTGGCTGGTAACTTTCCTCCTGCTCCTGGACTCTTTACACAAAGGTGAGCCCCGCGTGGGCGGCGGGCGGCGGAGGCGGCGGGGCCGGGGCGCGCGCGGCGGGTGGAGACGCGGGGTACCCAGCGGGCTCCAGGTGCCCGGGGACTGGCCCGGGTCCACGACCCCGGGTGGGGCGCAGTGGGGTGGAGCAAGCGCCCGGAGAGGGGCCGGGTGAGAGTCAGCCCAGGACCGCTCTGCCGGCCACCGCGCCCGCCGTTTCGGGGCGCGCCGTAGGGGTGGTGGCGAGGGAGCCCCTCATCCCTCTCTCATGAGAGAGCCGCGGTTCTGCCCTGGATCCCTCCCCCAGCCCCGTAGCCACCTCCTGCGGCTTGGTGGCGCTGGGACCCCGGGGTGCCTTCTGAGGCCAGGGGTCCTCGGGCCATGACTCTTCACCGAGGAATGTTCACGTACTCGGACCTCGGACTCGGCCGGTTACTCCTTCCACCGCGCGCCCCTCGGCCGCCCCGGACCCCCGCCCTGGCGCGAATGCGGGCGCACCGCATGGCGCTTGTCCGCTTCCCTGGCTGCATGCAGCGCGGACAGAGCTGGGGATCCCGAGAGCTGGGGTCCCTGGAAGAGCAAGTTTGGTGTCCAAACCCGGCGGGCTACCTCCCGCAACCCCACCCCAGCCCCATGCCCCGGGCGCTAGCCCCGGGTTCGCCGCGCTGCCGCGGCCACCCCAGGCAGCGCGCCCAAAGGTGCAAGATTCTCCGCTAGGGCGCCTGGCCGACAGGACCTGGGGGCGAGTCTTCGGGCTGGGGGGCGTGTCCGTCTCCTGGGATAGAGAAAAGGGTTGCTAGGGGTGGATCCAGGTGTCCGGCATGTCCGGACCTGCTGCTGGGGCGCTGCGCCCCTGATCCGGGAAGTAGCAGGCACTGGGAGGTTGGCAGGGGACGGGCTTGAGCGGTCCGAGGCACCGGGGCACCGAGTCCGGAGCAGACTGAAGCTGGCGGACCGGGTTCCAGGCCGTAGTGCAGGACGTGCCCCGGGGCGCGCAGCTGGCGGGATGTGAGGCGGTCAAAGTCTCGCGCCCTTGAGCGGCGGAGCACTCCTGCTCCGGCAAGCTCGGCTTTACCTGTTCAGCCCTCTAACTTTTCTCCTTCGCGTCCCTGGGGCTGCTTCTCCCACCTATTGCCCCGGCGGTTGCTCGGGCCAAGCGACAACTCGCGACCCCTGGGCAACGGGGAAGGGCAAGCCAGCAGGGCTAGGGGTCCGGGGAGGGGGCTTGTCTCTCCCCGCCGAAGCCCGGGAGGAAGCGGGTTAAGCGTTGCGTGTAGATGACGCCGCGCCACAGCCGGACCGAAGACCCCAGTACTGGCCGGGTTGGCGGGTGCCGGGCAAGGGGTGGGCCCTGAATGAATCATGGAGGAAGTAGTTGAGTTTCTCAGACCCAGTGTGGGCCAGAGGCTTGAGCGCTAAGGCCGGCCCAGGTTGTTTAACCCATTGCCCCCCAGCGCCTAATACCCCACCCAGCAGAGCAGGAGCCTGCCTCCTGTTCACCCGGTCCCCCAAGGCACACCCCAGTTTCCCTCTCCCCAGGCTCTTCCTGCCTCCCTCCGCCCCCGCAGGCTGCCTCAGCTTGCAGCCTTAATTACATTAATATTAAAAATACATAAGGTGAGAAGCAGCTCTCTCTCTCCATCGCTCACTCTCACCACCTCCTACCCCCTTTCCCATTTTGTCAGGCCAAGAACAGAGGTCAGAACTCCTGCGGCCACACTCCTGTCCAGCTTGGTTCCCCGGGGCCCTGTGCCCCCTGGGATCTTCCAGAACTGCCCACTCCCCACCCCCAGGGGTCAAGACCCCTCCAAGTAAATACCTGAAGGAGGCTCCCCTCCCCCTTCCAGGAGCCCCGCATGAATAAATGAAGCCCCAGCTATTTGATAGGGAGGGAGCAGATGGAGGTGGGGGTGGAGGAGGACCCAGAAGGCAACAGGACAGCCGGCTGGGCAAAAGCCTTTTTAGCTTACCCAGGCCTGTGGGTGGCTGGAGGGGCCAGGTGTGACCGCCCTCCAGGGCCCTGGGGTCTGCAGGCCCCAGCGGCAAGGCTGGGCACCAGGGCGCCTCGCCAGACAGCCCTTTCTTTTCCTGGGTGCTGTAATTGGGGCTTAGGTGCCAGGCTGGTCCCCGGGGCCTGTTCTGCTTGGGGTGGCGTGGCAGGGGGGTGGCGGAGGCGGCTCGGGGAGGCTGTGCTGCAGAGAGCAGGAAAGATGGAGCTGGGTGTATTTTCTCTCCCGTTGCCAGTCACCCCCGCGGCACCAAGGAAAATGTAAATGCGAATGTTCTAGCCTGTTACGGAAAACAATATCCTCTTGCAATAATTTGTACGTCCATCTGTGAGGAGCGGGAGGAGGCAGGGAGAGAGAGGAAAACAGGGCGAGATGGAGCATCCTCTGGATGGAATTAAGCAGTTATTGAATGTGTTTTAAGCTTCTGTTATTTCCATTCCTCTCCGAAGATCTTTTTTTGATGAAGTCTGTGCTCAGACCGATTCCCCAGAACTAAACTGGGAAGGTGTTTTAATAATCGGTTATCGAGCCTCCAATAACCACCTTATTATTGCCAAAACAAATCCAGGTTTGGGCAGCCAGATGAACCCCGGCGAGGCTGTCTCCGTTGTTACATCCAGCGTGCCAGCATCTGTGTTGCCTGCATTTGCATTTTACTGTGTAAAAGAACAAGCTTCCCCGGCACTAAAATTCCTGTTTTCTAAAAGCCAAAATAATGGGTTGCATTGATTTTTTTTCATTTCCCACCCCAACCTCACGGATGGGGACCCGTGGTTCTCCTCTCTTGAGAAGACCAAATTAAAAGCCTTCGTCAGGCCATTAAGAAAATCTCTAACTCCATTCAGTGTCTAATTAAATCGGGGTGTTTGTGTGTATGTAGAGGGGGCTGCTGTGTACTGGGGAATGTGTTTTTAAAACCTCAAAATGGCAAACACAGCTTAGGGGAGGGGGCGGATGAGCAGAGAGGCCCCGGGTCCTGGTGTAACGTGAGGGAGGATAGAGCTGCCGTGATACCCGCAGACGTCTCTGCCGCTTGGCATCCCTGGGCATCCAAGCCAGCTGCCTTTCATTTCTGCAGCAGCAAGGGGAACTCAATTAGAAAGGAAAAGCAAGTAAGCCGCTGACCCAGGACAGTGCTGAAGTTGAGCAGATCCCAAGGACCCGGCCTGTGAGGCTTGGGTTTCTTGGGCTGATGGATAGAGAGGTGGGCAGGCACACTAGGTGGGGAGAGGAGTGGTCTGGCCCAGTGATGGCTTGCTAAAGAAGCAGGTACCCAACAGCAACCCAGGAGCCCCAGACCCAGGGCCTTTGGGGGAGGGGTGCACACTTCAAGCCCTCTGCCCACTCTGTGTCTCTGGGGATTCCATGCTTACAACTTGCTTGGTCCTCTGCTCTGGCTGGTGAAGGGTGATTCTGTCTGTGGAGGAGGAGAGGGGAGGGTGGGTATTCCAAGAGCTTTGTTTTGGAGGTAGGGGGCTCTGGCTGGGAGAGTCTTCTCCTCCCATTTGACCTTGGAGGATTTTCTTGGGGACGTTTGAGGAGCTCCTGCACCCCAAGTGCTTTCTTAGTCCCTAGCCCAGTGGATTCTAGCTGGTACTCAGGTGCCTGAATAGGGTGAGCTACAGGCAGCAGAAATGGCAGGGTGCCAGGAACCCAAGGGCAAGCCCCATATTTGCATATAATTTACATATTGCATTTGCATGCTCACCTAGCCAAACCAGGAGCCTTGCCCTCAGTGAGTAGCATCTTGACCTGGGCCTCAGTCTCAGCCAGTCAGTGATATTCCCATTGCATGGAAGAGAGGTGGGGTAGGAGCAGGATGCAGGGAGGACTAGGGTTTCGGATAGTGCTTCTGAGACTTAAACCTAGAGGATAGGACTTGGCCCTGAGTTCACCATCTGGCAAAACAGCCCTGGAGCCTCCATCGCCCGTATCAGGCAGACAGTGGCACTGGGGCTATTAGGGTAGGAAGAGAGGCAATGGAGAGAAACTCCCTAAGGCAGAGAAAACCTGGGGAGTGTGCCATTCCTCTGGTGCTGCAGGAAGACGACAAGGACGAAGAGAGGGACACACAGGACCAACATTAGCCTTTGGTGAGTGCACCCCCAGAATGGAGGGAGCTAGGTGCACAGCACCATGGTTGGGGCGGGCAGGAGAGAGGTAGAAATCTCTTTCACTTTCCCAGCTTTGAGGGGTTGGTTGTGGCCTTCGAGAGATTAGAGAAAAAATGTTTTATTCCACAATGGTCAGGGCAGCTGTGGTCATGTGGGGGTGGTCCTGATGGGGGTAGTGGGGAGACAGGCACTGCCCTCATCCATGGAAGGGTGTGTGGAGTTCAGGGTGATGCTTGAAGAACAAGCACTTCAGGAGAGCTGAGTGCTCCCTGCCAGGGAGCCAGCGGGGCTGCCCACGGCAGGAGTGTGGCCACCAGAATGGCTTTGTCTGCATTTCCGGGCCCTGTGCAGATCCCACCCTGGCAGGTGCAGCTGCAAGGCTTTCTGGAGTGTTTTTCTGCACAGCTACTGTTGCAGGAGGGTGCTGGTCTGCTGGAGCCCACAGTGGTTCCCAGAGGATGCTGTGTGGCGCTCTGAGGGGTTAGGTAGAGCCTCAGGGGACGGATGGGGATGGAGGGAGAAGGCCAGTGGGCTGAGCTTTCACCTATGTTTATACATTGGAGTGTGAGGGGAAATAAAGAGGATTGCAAGCCTGGTGTGGTAGAAATTGAGGGTCAAGGCAAACCATCCATTGGCATCCTAGCTCTGCTTTTCCTGGCCATGTGACTTTGGGCCTCTCTGAGCCTCACTTCCTCCAGCTATGAGATGGGATTAAAGGGGATATAATGCATTTGAAGTAGCCAGAACATAGTCTGTGCTCAATAAGCAGGCCTCTTCTTTTCTTCCTGCACTGCCTCCATCTTCCTCCTCCTGCTCCCTTCCCAAAATAGATTATCAGACCCTGCCCTGAGAGCTGGCATTCACCAGTCTCACTTCCGGCCA